CTGTATTGTCCTGAGCTGGTCTGGTAGATGGAGGCTGAGGCTGCGCTCGACACCTCCTCTTCCTCCTCCTCTGTCTCCTCCTCATCGATTTTAGGAACTGCCGGCGAATCGGACGAAAGCTCATTGAGGATTTGTCTGCGGGGGAGAAGATGATTTGATTGAATTGAATAAATCTGACGCCACTTTGCACAGCAGGCTGTTGTTTGGTGACGTCTTCTCACCGGTAGGATGGACGCCTGGAGAGAATCTCCCGTCTCTTCTGAGCGTCTGTGGCTGACTTGTTCTCCTCCAGCTCTGCTGCCGTGGCGATCTGTAGGAAACGAGCCGTATTTAAACTTTTTATTTTGGCAACATGTTTGGTGTGACTGAAGGGGAGTTACTTTTCATACACAGGCTTTTGTGAGTGACCTGGAATGTGTTTGATATAACAATCTGTGAAAGCGAGGGATGACGTCAAAGAAGGAATTTGAGAAGCTTTTTATTCTAAGCCTTGATCTTTTCAACCCATCACGCCTCTTTACACACGCTCTATGTACTGTAATTATTTGTGTACGTAGGTGTCGACACCCCGTCTTTCACCGGGAACGATTTTCTTGAAGCATGACTAAATCCTGACGTTTAACACACACACACACATTTGTGTTTGGCAGGAGCGTTTCAAGGGGCCCCAGGCTAAAAGGTACCAAGGGGCCCCAACAACAAACCCAGGATACACATGATACCAAACTAATTATCAAAATTATGAACAAGTGCATACTGCGCCCATAAATAATGAATTGTAAAGTCCAAACCTGCATCACCGTCCAGACACATCATAAAAACACATTTAGACATTTTAGTCCTCAAACAAACCTCGACAGTTATTAGAGATTTTGGCAGAAAGTTAGTGTCATGGGGCCTGAAGATAAACTCCCACAACCTGCAGAGTGGGAGGCGTTTGTTTATATATGAGGAGAGTGGAGGTTGGTGACGTACACTGCCTCCAAATCAGTCACGAGCTGAATTCCCTCCTCTGCCTAACCTGTTGCAGCTCCCTGCATCTCATTGACTCAAACTTGTGTTATGGTTGTTTTTGTAATTCAAAGGCTCCTCCGGCACAATTCTGCTTCATGTCAGGTTAAAGAGGGGCGTGTCCGCTGACATTTGCTCACTTCTGCTATTAAAAGCAGTGGTTTATAAACGCAGCACAATCGCTGCGTTTGTCGGATTATTGCCGCCGTGATCACGCGTTCTCGCCTTGACTCTCCACAGTGTTTCCTCTGTCATGAGGACTTTGAGCTCTGTTTTCTTAAGTGCTCCTCAAAGACACTTTTCATGAAACACTTTGCAAACCAAGCTGTGTGATCAGATGTGAGGAAACCTGCTGAAACATGTGAACCGATAAACTTTCACTGCTCATCCACAAACATGCTAAACCGCGCAGGGTCATTGTTGTCCGGTGTTTCTGAGGGGGGTCATCCGACGCAGACACAACAACAAAATCTCCTGAATGTGAAGGTTATAGTGACGAGCTTAAATCTCCTGCTGCTCACATCAATCCTATTAACAGATGCACTGCATTAGAGCACAAGCGCTCCAGTGAACCTCCGGCACACAGCAGCTAAATCCTCATTCACTAACACACCGACTCTGACATCACAACCTGTAAATGATTCCACAAAACACACGGAGCTGTGACCTCACGACCTGAACTTGAGGACAAGACATTTCACTTGGACTTTAGCTCGACGTTTCCCCGAACAAACTTGAAAATGACTTCAGGCTGGATCTGACACTTGTGCTCATGTCGAATATGAGCCCTCACCTGTACAGTGTTAACCTGAGGTGACTGTATGACAGAGGTCTGAGGCGCCTGGATCAACCTCTGGACCTCCACTGTCTCACCGTCAGACAGCTGGACCACGGTCCCGCCGGGTGACTCTGCCACAGACACCTGAAAGAAAAGGAAATATCAGGAGTAGCCAATCACACGATGAAATCACATGACTGATATGATAAATTAATTTAAATGTAAATATTTACAAATGCCAAAAAGGATGCAAAATCTCATCTTTCATATTTCAAATGCTGGCAACGCATTTAACAAAATATCTTGACTTATTGAATGGATGTGTGTGTGTGTGGGTGTGTGTACCTGAGGGGCAGCAGGAGATAAACTGGCTTCACTCTGGTTTTCTTCATCTGACAGCGAGTCATTCAAACTGCTGTCGAACTGAAACGATACCGACGTGTCCATAACGAGTCACCTACGCAGACGAGCAGATCGTTGATTCTGTTACTGAGGCCGTCACGTCTTCTTTCCACTGTTTCATCCGGGACCGTTATGATACATCCTAAATAAATGTACACTGGTCTTCTCCAGGACTCGTCACACACAGTATTTTTCCATTGTGAAGCAAGATATTGCTTCATTATCATGATCACAGCTTCATCATTTTTGAAATTGCTGCAGTTAACTTGGACTCTCTTTGTATTATGAGACGTCAAAGTGCTGATTCATAGCAGATTTAATGCAGTTTGAATGTTTGACTGATTCTTCTGATCTGAAAACAATGAAGCTCCAGTGGAAAGAGAGAAATAACGACAGTGTTTGTGTCAAACACAATGAACACACTTCAGACTCTTGGCTTTTATTTCAACTGTAAACTCTTTGTTTTGATTGACGATCTCTGTTGACCGAACATCAATCTCTCCAGATCATTATATGTTTTTTCGCGAAAACGACAATGGACATGTTTCCGTGGGACCCAAAGAAGTGATGAACCTGACTGTAGTTCAATGCTTTGAGAAGTTCCACCACTGACGAGAAGCAGACGTCAGTAACTTCACGTTCACGTAAAACCAGGTTCATCGCTTTATCGGGTCCTCTGGAAACATGTCTGTTTTCGCAGTTTCGTGATTTTTTCACTTGCATGTATGTTATTAATTTGCGGTGCATTGAGCTCTCTCGGCCACCGTACAATAGAAATGACTCGACCACGCTTTCGGCAGGAAGTGTTTCTCCCGTGTTTTAGAACACTTTATCTTTTGCTTTATTTTGAAGCTTTCGCTCACACTTCCTGTTCATGTTACTGCGGAAGTGATGACGCAGCTGAGTGAAGCTGCGGAGTCACGTGTCAGTTTCTCACCAGATCCGCTTCGTTTCTTCGCGCGTGAAAACCTCCGCAGCGCACACGCGGGTTTTCTTCCACGCTGCGTGAAAAAACGCGACGGTCTTGCGTGAACTTACCAAACTTTTACGTCGTCACTGATGACGGTGCGCGCGGACGTCCTGCGGCTCCGCGCACGTAGTTTCCACGTCAGCGCTGATGACGCTGCGGAGACGAATAAACACCGGAGATTAACGGGGCGGAGCGAGAGTGTTCATCACAGCTACTTCCGGTATCGTTTTTCACAAAGTTAACAAAACCTGATTTCGTCACGGATTTTTTAAGAAGCTGCAATTTAAAGTATGTTATATATAT